GAAATTAAACAACATTCAGTAGCTACCTTGCCACTCAAGAAATGTCACATGGCAGTGGAAAATAAATATTAAAAATGTCAACACTGACAAGACCAAGTAAACTTCACAGCAGGTGGAATCTCTGGGAGCTGGCTTAGAAGAGAGTGCTTTCATGAAAGAGATGTAAGGACACCATAAAGGTCCTCTAGATAATCCTTTCTATGATAGCACTAATAATTGGCTCTTCTTTTTAAAAAAAAAAAAAAACAAAAACCTCTCCAGTAAACGAGAATTCACTTGTATAAGACACTGAATATCTAAGATATTCTTAGAAAGAATATCTTTCCTTATGCTAAGCTTCAAATCATCTCCTTATGAAATCTGATAGTGCTATACAGAGCTTCTCAGCCCTGGGGCTGGCATCCTCAGGTGCTGCAGTATATTACAGATGTGCTGGCTTCCCTACTCCCTTAACCCTTCAAGCAGTCCTGCCAGGACTGAAGAAGTCACAGCCACAGTACAATGGCCATGAGAAACCTTTTACAATTATCCCTGTGTTATAAACTTTATCACCTCTTGTGTGTGCTCTGTGGTGAAAAAGACCATGAAGCACTGTTTAGCCTAATATGGTGGCAAAGAGGCCCAGGTTCTGGATTAAGACAGATCCAAGTTACAGTCTTGTCTCTGCCAGTTATTAGCTCTCAGACCTTTGGAGAGACACTACACTTTTTCAAAACTCAATTTCTACACTGAAAATGACTTCAATGATACTGTCTTCCCCATATTGGTATAAGAGTAAGATGATAGCACATTTGCACTATTAAATATTATTAATGTCATTGGTTCTGCACTTGCCCTTTTAAACCATGACATAAATTCCTGTTTGATTTTACAAACTTTAAATTATTTAAAGCTAGGCTTTGCTAAGTCTTCTCCTTTAGCTAAATATCCCAAGTTTCCTTCAGCGTCTCCTTGTCTAACATGAGTTCAATTTCTTTCAACATCTTAGTTGTTCTCTTCTGGACACCCCACAGTGCCTTTGTGTTCTTTATTGAATATATAGTGCTAAAAATAGAAACCTCTGTGTAAATGAGCCTTGACAAGCTTGTCCTTAAAGGATAAATGGAATAGGGAACAGAAGAAAGATATTCTCACTGGAGAACACTGTAGTGAACAAAAGTACCATAAATACTCTGAATAAATGGGCCTACCTGGCTAAAAGAGAGTGAGGGGTGGTTCACAAAGGCTGGATTATAAAATGTCTGAGGTCATGAGACTATCACTTGTATCCAATGTAAAGAAAAGCATGCTTTTGTTTTAGGAAACAGATTTATCCCGGGAAAGCAAACAACTACACCAGTTAAATGAGTTACTCATGAGCAGCAAACTAGCAAAAACACTTGTAATCTTTCTTGCTCTCCCCTTAGATTGAAACAATGAATAAACCTAGAATCATCCTGAAGGAGATGCTGAAAAACTGGAGATGATCCACAAACTACACATGCTTTGGGTTTTCAACTATTGGCTTTGGCTGTGTACTTTGGGTTAAAATGACCCAGAGAAGTTAGTTTGTCCTATCCTACAGCCATAGCTCAAAGGCTTCAATGTCCAGTTTTCCTTTACTACTGAGGCCTTCTAGTCTTGCTTCTGGTCTTTCCTCTGTTCACTCAATGTAGGGTACTTACAATCTGTTTGGGTTCATCTTTCATCTCCCATCTTGAAGACCAGCATTATGGTTTTGGAGAGACTACATCTCCTAGCTTACTTTTCTCTTCTGTAAAAATGAGAACTTTTACAGTGCTTTAAAATTTCATTGTGATCATTTAATGAGTTAAGTATCTAAAGTCCACGAAGAAAGCCTGGCAATTATGACTGTCATTTGTGTAGTTACTTGGAGTCATTACTATTAATACATTCATATGATACCACATATTACATTAAACACGGGATAAATTTGTGAACAGGATAATCTCTTACCCTCAATGTTCACATTTTTCCTGACTTTTTGGAAAAAGCAATAACTTTGGAATTACACTCCTGGATAAAATTTTAGAAACTACTATTGTAGTTTCTAATCTACGTTGTAACCGTGCATGAGATACCCACTTAAATCTCTCTGAGCCTGCCTCCTCATCTGTGAAGAGGATTAATAAAATCTGCTTTGAAGATTTATTTTGACTATTAAATAAGAAAAGTACACTGTAGGAACTTACTTACACGCCTTTCTCCTGTCTTCCCCCACAGTCCTGTGGTCATACTTGAGGCTGGAGGGCATCACTCTCATCTTAAAAGTGCCAGGCAGGAGTATGAGGGGACAGAGGGAACTGGTCTTCAGGAAAGGCAAAATCTAGGAGGTGTGAGAAGAAACAGATAAAATACGGGGTGCAGGCACCGCCCCTGAACTACATCTCCCGGGATGCTCAGCAAGAGGGAGCGCCCCGCCCCGCCCACCCCGCCCAGCCGGCGCGGGCGCTGCCCACCCAGCAGAGCTCAGCGGCGCGCAGAGGCTACAAGTGCAGCGGCTGGGGAGCGGGGGACTTTGTTCGGGAGCCGCGCCGGGGTGGGGGTGTGCGCACGGTGCTCCTACAGCGCGGGGTGGCCGGGGCCAGGCAGAGGTGAGTGGCGGAGAATGGGATGGGGAAGAAGCTCCGGGCGTAAGGGTGAGAGCCAGGTGCCCAGCGGAGCAGGGGCGCGTGTCTCCGTCCTACCCAAGGTGCTTGCTTCGCTCCAGGAACCTTGGAGGACGCCGCCCGGCTGCGGGTGTCTCGGGTGGTCGCAGAGGTTGACCGGAATGGAGTGGTTGATCTGGCGGTGCAGGTGCCGGGCTCCGCCGCCGGGTGCTCGCTGCGGGTCTTTCTCGTACAGCGCGCGCCGGACGCATCCCGAGGAGCTGTCTCTAGACCAGCCGCACCCGAGTCAGGTCCTATGCAAATCTTACTGCTTTTAGTGGACCGGAGACCGACCAGGGAAAGTGCTGTCCTCGCTTTGAGGTGCAGTCACCTTCACTGGGCTTTTAAACAGATCAGAGGGGGAAAAAAAGAGGAGGAGGGGAAAAGACCTTTACTGGTCCCCTGGCAATATCCATTCTCCGCTGAGGATGGAAGCTTCGGATCACCGAGCTGCAAAGGAAATTGGCCGTAATAGCTAGTGTATCTCCGATAGAACAAGCAGTCTCTTTTCTTTTAAGAAAGATCGAGGCAGGAGAAGAGAATTGAGTGATATTTCTCTTCCCCTTTTGTTAAAAATTGGAAGTCCCAAAAAGGATCCTGCCGATTTTATCCAAAGTAGTCTAGTGTGATTAGTTAATTGCGCCAAAGGTTAATCAGAGCGCCTAATGCCAGAGGGACCCTTGAGGGGGTTTCTCATTTCAGTAATTGATGAAACCAGTTACCATCCCTTCCTTCATTGAGAGATTTTTCAGTAGGGGGTTTGTCCATTTGCTCAAGCTCACTTATGGTTTATCTTCTCTCACTTAGTGTCTTGTTTGTTTTGCTTTGGCTTTTTTTTTTTTTTCCTGTTTTAGGTGCAGAGAAACTCTGATAATAGAAGAGAAATGTTTATTTGTGGGGGGGGGAAATCAACTTCTGATGTATAGCGTAAACATTTATTCCCTCTCCCTTACTTTTAGTCTTTGAGTTGCCAGGTTGACCTTATGTGAGCCTGCCTGTGGCCCTGTTACCAGCAGTTGGAATTGTAGATTTTGAAGTATATTAAGCCTCCAGCCATGGGTTGAAAAGCAATTATCACCCTGGATTTGAAATCAAAATAAAATGGGCTCTTGGTTAAAACCCCCACATTTAGTGAAAGTAAAATGTGGATTTATATTTTTCAGAGAGAGAGAGTAGGGGAAGAGAAAGATGGACAGATGGCTTTCTGTTCAACCCAAAGTTCCATTCCAGAAAGACAGCATGTTGCAATAGAAATGAGGGAGTGTCATGGATATGAAGTTACACAGGTAACCTTGGAAGTAGCTTCTCACCTGTTTGCCTCTACAGAATTCTGTGGGTTTATAATTTGTTTGTTATTGTTACTACTTCTAGATTGGCCTTGTAAAAAATTTCTGGAAGGCCAGTTTCTTTTGTTTGTGAGTAAACTATAGAGAGAGGAAGAACTCAGACCTACTCAGACTCATCGAGCAGGGACAGCAGACACACAGCTGGAGCAGGCAGTGGGCTTGCTCCTTGCATTTTGCAGGAATCACAGTGAAGTGTGTTGTCTACACACTTTGGTAACTAGCACATGCTGCCCCCATGGAGCAGTGAAAAGCTCAGGGAGAGTGGTAACATACTGAAAAATCAGTGTGTGATCTTATAAATTCAGGGTCCACTGCTCTATGACTTGGGTCATTGGATGTACAAGGCAAATGCTTAAGAAGAGGTGGCTAGCTTTTTCATCCACTTTAGAGCTGCTGAATCTAGATGCTGAGCACCTGCTCTAGTGAAACCCAGCTGATAGGAAAATATATTCATTAAAGCTAATCTGTATTAGAATCATTTCTGAACTAAAGAGTGTAAACACACTTTAATTGAATTGTTCAGAAGTCTTGCTCCCTCAAGTCCTCCAGAAATCCAAGAGCTCTGCTTAAACGGGCCCCTGCCTTTCTCATTTGTGTCTTTCTACAGGAAACCTACCTTCTTATTTGAGGGATCCTGTCACTGGAATGTGTGAGACCTTGGATAAATTTGGCTTGGTGATGGCAATATGCTTTCTTCAGAGACATTGTCACTTCCTTCGGGCTCCTTTTCTACCCTGACTTGAGATTCTCACTGTCAACCCCTGTGACAAGTCAGACAGTTTGCTCTTTTCATTCTCTTCTGCTGAGAGGTACCCTTCCCCTTCTTTTGCCCCTTTTAGGAGGAATTGGGACTGAGGTACCCACAGCCATCTATGGCTGCAAAGGAAATAGGGTCCTTAGGATAAGCACTCCCAGCAGGACAGTCTTAGCTTCTGTTGAGTTCTTATTAACTCTGTTGCTGTTGTCAGAATTTCTGGAAGCTGCTGAAGGATACTAGCTAACTCCCATGGAGCTTCACTACCTTGCTAAGAACAATAGCCAGGCAGATCTGTGTGATGTTGTGAACTGGAGTTCAGGAGGGCTTCCTGGTGACCAGGCAGATTCAGCAGCCATCAGAGATGCTCTTTGCTCTCAGAAACACTGTACATCCACTCCAAGACAAACTGGGATGGAAGGATCTAAACTTAACTCTTCTCCAGCATCCCCCTCCTCCTCTCTGCAAAACAGTGCCATTCAGCCAAGCTTTTTCCCACCAGGACATCTTGATTCAGGAAACAACCAAATAATAGCAGAACGGAAGGTCTGCAACTGCTGCAGCCAGGAATTAGAAACTTCTTTCACTTACGTGGATGAGAATATCAACTTGGAGCAGCGGAACCGAAGGTCTCCTTCTACAAAAGGGAGTAATCATCATGGAGAACTTGGCTGGGTAAATCCAAGTGAATGGTCCCAGGAGGCTGCCATATCTTTGATATCTGAAGATGAAGATGATACAAGTTCAGAAGCCACGTCTTCAGGGAAGTCAGTTGACTATGGTTTTATCAGTGCCATCTTGTTCTTAGTCACTGGCATATTGCTGGTGATTATTTCTTACATTGTCCCACGGGAGGTGACGGTGGATCCCAATACAGTGGCAGCCCGGGAGATGGAACGGCTAGAAAAAGAGAGTGCAAAGCTGGGAGCTCACCTGGACCGTTGTGTCATTGCTGGGCTCTGTCTCCTCACACTTGGAGGGGTTGTTCTGTCTTGTTTGCTAATGATGTCTATGTGGAAAGGTGAGCTCTATCGTCGAAACAGATTTGCCTCTTCCAAAGAGTCTGCAAAACTCTATGGTTCTTTCAACTTCAGGATGAAAACCAGCACTAATGAAAATAGCTTGGAACTGTCCTTGGTAGAGGAAGATGCTCTTGCTGTACAGAGTTAATTCTGATTGTAAAATTCTTGAGAATCTGCCTTGGCATTTTTTACCATTTTTTTTCCCTTAAAAAACAGTTGTCTAGTAAGAAAAGTTCATTTCATAATCCAACAACAGCCAGTGATTGTTTTTGTTCTCCACATATCTTCTATTTAGAAGAAAAGAAGCCATGTAAAAATGCATAAGAAATCACAAACAGCTGCACCTGTCTTTCTGAGAGCTGTAAACTAATTAATCTGTAATGACCATAAGTTTCTAATTCTATAGCAAAACATGCCAAATGACCAATATAAAAATGATTCCTTTTACATAAATATGGGATATTATTCTTTGAGGAAGTCCTACATATACTGAAATCAGTTTGTAGCCTATTTGTGAAAAGTAAGCACTAATCACATAGTAAGGCTTACATTTCATTCTCACAGGTGCTTATCCATTTTCTTCCTAAGTTTTTCTTCTTATGACTTGGTTAAAAACTAAAATATAGACTTTTGAGTGTTACTATTTTGAAGCTTGAGGATGTTGGTCATTTTTGAAAAACTATAAAGGTGTTATATTTAAAATTACTCCTGTATTCAGAAGTGGTATATAAGTCATTGGGAAAACTTTCTAATAAAAGAAAATTATATAAATCATCATAAGACCAATGTGAAACTAACCCACAATGTTAGCACCAGATACTTGCATTGTACATGCCCTTTTTCAAAATGAAGTAAGATTGATTGATAATGTAAATTTCATTTTCTGTTTGTAGTTTTGACATATTTTTGGTTACCAGTGCACTTGTAGTCTTTGCTGGTTCTCACACCAGAGAGACAAAGCATGAGACTTTAAAGTATATCTCCAGACATTTAAACATCTAGATAGGTCTGAGTCATGATTGGCTCTGGCATATTTCCAGGTGACATCTTGTTATTTGGACAAAACTGCCAATATAATTGCAGCTAGTCTTGGGAACTGTGCCTAGCAGACTGTCTCACTTGCAGCAAGCCGTTGCCTCAGGAGTCCTAAAGCCCACAGCCAAAAAATTACAATGGAAGAGAAGAATCAAACCCACCCATTCAGTGGGAGCTGCACTCATTTTCAGACCTCATCTCCTCCTCATACAAATCTAGATATCATTCTGAGTACCTCGTATTTGGGCCATTGTAGTGGTGTGTTCTTGCCTCTTAAAGTACAAACTCCTGGTCTATGAGAGATGTGATGAGTAGAGTGGTCACAGCTTTGTAACATGCACACCCTGTATCTTCACTGACACTGCCTTAGTATGGCAGTTGTTCAGGAAGGGGTTGGGGAATGCAGCCTCAGAAATATCCTGCATCACACAACTGTTCTTTGAGATCTTTCCAATCTCCCACTGTAGGAGTTTTATTAATGTGTTGTAAGTATCAGTGGGGTCATTCTTGAAGAGGACTCTGGAGCTGGAAATGGGCATGGGTAGGGATGAGGGAGTGAGAAAGTGATTCTTTTGTAGATTCTAATGCCCAAATCATCGTAACATGAAATTTGTGCTGGTACTGAGGACTGTGGAATATGTGGATGACTGACTGGCAAAATATGTGAGTCAGGGTATCTTAAGTGAATGAGCTCTTTAGGATGTATGATCAATTTGTTGGGTAAAGTACCCTTTGGGTTACTAAGAGTGACAGTGAAATGCAAAAAAGGAAAAAAAGAACATGTGTGTAAGAGAATTATTAGGTAAGAATAAGAAATCATGTGGACATCAGAGGAAATTAGATGTAGCTCGATTGCCTTGCCCTACTGAAGTACATGTGTAACCAGGAGCTAGTGAATTACTGATTCAGAAAGAATTTTAACAACGTGATTTTAATTTCTATTTTATTTTCTTTGTGCTTTTTGAACCATATTTTTGTTTCACTCTATTTTCATATCAAAATTTGTGTTGAGGCCACCATAGCAGCAGTATAAATTTTACTATTCTGAGGCTTATTAATTGTCCAGTTCTTAACCTGCTTGAGGAGCTGGTCAGTGATGTTTGTTTTTTAATTCTAAAATACATTTTAAAATCTACATATTTATTCATGAAAGATCATGAGATACCTGAGACCAGTGGAATTTGGGGTTTATTTATTGGTGAAACAAGATTAATTAGCCAAATGGTACACCTAACTGAACTAATTTGTGGCCCAATTTTCAGTTTATGATGAAGGATTAGTTTGAGAATCAAATGTGAGGGAAGCTTTTCAATTCTATAAAATTGATGATAAAGGGGAAAAGAAGCCAGAGGTTTTCATGTGGAAACATTTAATGAATCTTGCTGGGCTACTAAATTACAGAGATGTAGTGTAAAGTCAACATTTTTTTAAAATGCCATTTAGGCAAAGAAAATTTAAAGTCAAAAGCGAATAAATGCTTATTAGTTCAACAATATTATTTAAATCTGCTTAAATGTACAGCACAACTCTTAAGGTTCTACTTTTTTGAGACCAGACCATTACATCAAAAGGGACCAATTCAGAAAACCACTTGAATGACACCTTTAGGCTGTGTTGACATAATTCAGGTAACTGCCTTAATCACATTTTCCCCAGGTGTTCTGTTTGTGTTACCCTCATCCATCCTGTCAGTGCCTGAATTCAAGATGAAGATTACTTGAATTTAAAATGAAGGTAAGAGCTGGGAATGTAATTTAGTGGTAAAGTGCTTGCCACTATAGCCGGTGTGAGGCCCTGGGTCCAATCCTCAGTGCTGCCAATTTTTTTTTTTTTAAATAAAGTTAAAATAAAAGTAATACAGGCAAAAAATTTTTGCACTGTTGTTTTCAGTCTAGTATACTTTTTATACTAGAAGTATTGTGGCCAGCCCACATGAGAAGTGTTACATTCAACAGACAGGAGCTATGGTGTTAGTTTGGATCCTTCATGGAGATGTATGACTTTATCTCTTCAATGTGGTGCTGGTTTTTATCTATGAACATCTGTAATACTAGACCCAGAGAAACAAAACTGGGTCTTTGGCTTGTTTACTTGGGTTTAGAAGTTCATCTTCCTAATCTTAATGGCTATGCAGTGATTTCTTCAGCAGCACATCCAACAGTGAGGAGCAGAAAGAAAACTGCCTTTCCTCCTTAGTATTGGAATATGAATGCTGCTAATGGACACCTTAAGCCTCTTGTTTTTCATAAACTGCCCTTTTGAAGGCACCTTAAACTGTTTGTGGCAGAGTTTGCAGAATTCTTTTTGCAATTCTGTGTGTCCTCAGCAGCACTTTGGAGCTCCTGATGCAGGCCATATAATTTGATGCACTGGCCATTCATATGAAGAATGTCTTCTCTCCAGGCTCCCTATTGGTTTGCTGATTTGTGTTTTAGAGAAATACAGAGCTTCTGGGAACCATGAAGTTCTTGATGTCTGGGAGCACTTTTACCCACATGACTGCTGTGTCCCTTTTTTTATATATAAAATTTTTATTAGGATATATTCATTATATGGGGGTGGATTCATAGTGACAATTCTGATTAGACTTATATTGTACATTACGTACATTGCCCCATTGTCTGTCCCCCTCAACCCTGTCCCCACCCCACTTAAAGCAATTATAGGAGACTTCTTATTTGTGTTTCATATAGGTATATGAAGTCCATCTACCATATACTATCACCTTAATCTCCTTGCTGTGTCTCTTGAATAGGTACTACCTGAATCCTTGCCTTGAGATCACAAGTTTTACTGTCTGCTTAAAAATCTCAGTCCATTCCTCATACTTGTTTGGGAAAACCTTTTCACCCCAGCACTGGCACCTGTCTTTCAAAGTACAAATTTAGACAAAGAAAACTTCTGTACCTTTTCCTTTTTCCTAAGTTAAATTCTATTTCTTCACCCAAACAAAAATTAAGTAAATTGTATTAAAAGGAGAAAGCAAAGAAAAATTTGGAGTACCTGAAAATTAAAACTTAACAGCCCTGAAAACAACATTCTTAGTTGCATGTCCAGAAAATAAATGATAGACTATTGGGTATTTGAGAAAAGTTTAGCATATGTATCCAAGCAGATACCTGGCACCTCAAAAATGCTTCAGTTTTGACATTATAATGAGGTTCAGTCACCCACAAAAATCATTTGTGATTTCTCCCCTTCCCAGGGTAAGGTCAAATGAGTGAGTGAGCACCATGCCAATTGAATCAAGAATTAAGAGTCTGAATGGAAGTGATTCTGTTTTGTTTTTCACTTCTTTGTAACAGAAAAACATAGTTGCCTGTGAACATTCTGCCCTTTTTTTTCACATGTATAATGGTAGGCACATATGAAACCTTACTTGGCTTAATCACCTAAAGTTAAAGAGCAATCTTTTTATATATCTATTGGGAGATTTTTCAATCTGAAGGTCATTCTATTGCAACAAGTAATACTGCCACAAAAAAATGTGGTTTGATGTAAGAGGTTCACAATCTTTGCCAAAATTCACCAGTTGCAACAAGATTTAATACCATCAACTAGATTCAGCAGCATCAAAGGAATAAGACAGATCCGTACAGCTCTCTGTAATGGGTTTAATATTTCCCAAAACTTGGCATAAGGAATGTATATGATGAGAAGAATTACAATGAAGTCTCACTGGCTTTTCTCAGTGTATAAAAGTTTGTAAGACAAATAATTAACAAATTGTTATCTTTCACCTTATTTCCACCTATATCATTTTGTGGTCCATATAGTATTCTATAATGTTGTCTCAAAACTTTTAGCACTTATGGGCATACAGCTTGGGAAGTAATTTGCCTGACTATAGAATAGACACTGTAAAAAAGATGTTATTTTAAACACATAAAAGTGATTTCAAAAATCTGTGGCTTACACTCAGGAGTGTACTTACAGTTTATGTTTGTTAGTGTGCAAGTTTATGCGCACAAGTCTATGTATATATTAGGATATATTTTATGGTTATGGAACTTTAATATCCCAAAGCTTTTGTTATAACAGTTTTCTTGTAGGAATTTGGCATGCCTTATTGTTGACTTTAAGAACGAGACTATTCTTTCACAAGTCACTAAA